GGATGCTTCTAATCTTAGCAATATTCCGAAGGTGGAAAAAGGAAATCCTAGAAACCTGTTTAACGTGGGATTTGAATGACATGTCCTGGTCGACGATAACACCAAGGTTCCTTGCTTTGTTCTCGGAGACTAATTTAATGCCATTCAGGTCAGGTGATTGACTAAGCAATTTTCTTTTCTGAATTTCAGATCCAAAGATGCGTACTTCAGTCTTGTCTGAGCTCTGCGATTGGCCCACCAAACTGACAGAACTCTGCAATTGGCCCACCAAACCAACAGAGCTCTGCGATTGGCCCACCAAACCAACAGAGCTCTGCGATTGGCCCACCAAACTGACAGAGCTCTGAGATTGGCCCACCAAACCAACAGAGCTCTGTGATTGGCCAACCAAACTCACAGAGCTCTGTGATTGGAAAGACACAAAACTTGTCAGGCCCAATGACGCTCTTATGGAGTGTGGCTAGACCGACATGCAGAGCTAAATCTTTTTGCTTTTGCTATTGTCTGTTTAGATTTCTAGGTTAGCAAATTAGAGGAGTTCGATTGTATCTTTATTATTTTTTTACCAATAGACTGACTTAACTTAATTTCCGGTACTGATATAAATCAATACTTATACACTGGTAACTAACATTCTATTTCTCCTATGTTAAATACTTAAACTAGAAACATTATTGGGGCTGCGCAGTAGAGCAGTGGTTAGAGCTGTTGCCTTGCAGCGAGAAGGTCCTGGGTTCGATTCCCAGCCTGGGATCTTTCTGCATGGAGTTTGCATGTTCTCCCTGTGCATGCGTGGGTTCTCTCTGGGTACCGTCCAAAAACATGACTGTTAGGTTGATTGGTCTGTCCAAATTGCCCTTAGGTGTGAGTGTGTGTGCACGACTGTTTGTCCTGTGTGTCTCTGTGTTGCCCTGCAATGGACTGGCTCTCTGTCCAGGATGTACCCCGCCTACTTGCCCATTGACTGCTGGAGATAGGCACCAGCCAGTTTAAAATGCCTGGAGACCAACTAAAAATGCTTTGAAGAGAGAAAACAAATGAGAGTGAAAGGTTTATAACTTTAGTGGCACAGGCCGTGACAAAAAAAAAACTGCAGAAAAAACATTTTGGTATCAGGAAATATTAATTACACCTGACAGTGGATTTATATCCTTAACGTGTGTTCATCAGCTCATCTGTTTGCAGTAAAATCACTAAGAAAATTTTAACATGTGAAACTTTTTCTACATGCACAAAACACCCATGAGTCTCAAATATTGTTCTGAAATCTGTCAACGTGTGTCAGAGAGCACTTTTCCTTTACCATGATATTCCATCCCACCTCACAGGTGTGGCATACCAAGGGGATGACTAGACAGCATGAATAATGTACAGGTGTGCCTTAGACTGCCCACAATAAAAGGCCACCCTGACATGTGCAGGTTGATCAAAACAGCACAATGCCAAGGATGTCGCAGCCTTTGAGGGAGCGTGCAATTGGCATGCTGACTGCAGGAATGTCTACCAGAGCTGTTGCCGGTGAAATCAATGTTCATTTCTCTACCATAAGCCGTCTACAAACGCGTTTCAGAGAAATTGGCTGTACATCCAACTGGCCTCACAACCACTGACCACGTGTGACCACACCAGCCCAGGACCTTTATATTTTTGTTCAGTGTATATAATATATATTATATAATCTTAAACCAGGTGGGGCCAATAACTGGAGACTAACCTCGGCCACACACAGACGTTTGAACCAAAGTAAATTAGTTTGAACTTGAATCAATGAAAATTTTATAGAAAGGTCTGAAGCATAGAAATAGAACAGGAAATGCATTCTTGAGCAGAGAGGTCCAGATTAAGTGAAATGTAAGTAAACATGAATGTTAGAAGATCCAATCACACAAGGTTTGCGTCTTCATGTGTTCTGAGGGAGTCGACTGCAGCTTCAACAGTAAAGAGCACAGAAAAACAGAGTTGTAAAAAAAAACACAAATAAGCTGTTAGCTGGTAAATACGGGCGGTTTTAGCTTCACACTACTAAAATAAAACTATAAGTTGTTTGTGAAGCAAGAAAAAGATGTAAAATCTATTAATGCTTGTTTGTCGTTACACATGGTTTGATTTTTTCTTACGTATTAGGAAACCCATTAAGGTTGCTCAATTTCTATTGGCAAGAATCTGGCGACGCGATATTCATCACGATATGGGGAGACGATACGACATATTGCGATGTTCAGCGCCAGATGATATTTGCGGTTTTCAAGACTTAATTTAAAGGAACACTTTGAGTTTTTTAAACTTTAAGCTGTTGGTTTCAGTCATTCTTCAGCCATAAACTGGAGCTACTTCACATTAGATGGCTGTCTGTATACCCCCTTTCAACTAAAATTTATTTTTTATACACCGGTTTTGAATATTTAACACTCGGTCAGTTAATTGAATTGTTTGATAAGCTATAGTTAGATGTCTGATTTTAACACTGCGCAGTGAACACTAAAAGATTAAACAGCCGGTTAAAGTCAGAGTTTAAACACTGAATCAGCTTCAGAAATATTGTGCATCAACTGATATTAGTGACATTTTAGCATGAAAATAAGGTGGAAAATGTCTAGAAACCAGCTATGAAAATCAGGATAAGTGTCTGCAATTGAAATACCAAGATTGGTCAACCTCTGGTGTGTGCTTGGTTTCAAGTGAGGATGTTTGCAGTAGAGACCTGAGTGGATTTGTCATCATTTAATGGCCATGTGTCCAACATCACCTCAAAGGTGTGTCTTAATGGCGTTTTTCTGCCATTACAAAGCACGTTCCAGCCCTCAGGCTAGCCACTAAGGTCAACCAGCTAAGGTTGTAATTGTAACCTTAACACAAAACACACATCTAAATGGCCCAAATACAGCAGCAAATGTCATTCTGCTACATTTTAGGGCCATAAAATCATAAAACACAAATAGAAATCTGATGCCAAAGAGTACATTTGAGCTCAGCTACATTTCAAATAACAGGAAGGCTTTAGTGAGTAATAAAGGGTAAAAAACACTGAAGAACATTTGAAAAAAATAACTAACATGGCAAATTTTTCAACGATGGGTCTGCTTCCTATTAAAGCAAGGTGAAGTGAGCTTTACCACAACCCCACAAAATACTGTGGGTGCTGAGGCATTCAGATGAAGACCTCAGGAGGAGTCGACACAACAGATGACCAGCACACAGACATACAGTAAGCTGAGAGCTGTTAAGAACATGCAGAAGACCAGGAATCTAGATTATTTTTGGTTTATTGTGCACATTGCTGTGTAGTAGGCCAGTCCAAGGTCTAGACGAGGCTGCTAAGGTTTTCAATGAAAACCAGGGGGGTTTCTTCAGATTACACTTGATTAGCAAGCTGCTTTGTGCACAATCCTTTATTTGAAGAATAAAACATGCTTAAGGCTCAAAATTGTGAAAAATACAGGTACTGGTCATGAAATTAGAATTTAATGATAACTATTATTTATTTCAATAAATCCATTCTAAAAGTGAATCTTTAGATGAATTCATGTCAAATGTTTTCTTTTAATTTTGATAATTACAACTGACAACTAATGAAAGCCCCAAATTCATTTAATCAGAATATTATTGTGAAAAGGTTCAATACTGAAGACCCCTGGTGCCACACTCTAATCAGCTAAGTAACGCAGAACACCTGCAAAAGCCCTTAAATGGTCTTTCAGTCTAATTCGGTAGGCTACACAATCATGGGGACGACTGCAGACTTGACAGTTGTCCAAAGAAGACCATTGGCACCTTGTACATGAAGGGCAAGACACAAAAGGTCCTTGCTAAAGAGGCTGGCTGTTCACAGACCTCTGTGTCCAAGCACATTATCAGAGGCGAAGGCAAGGACACGATGTGGTAGAAAAAAAGTGTACAAGCAATAGATAACTGCACCCTGGAGAGGATTGAGAATCAACCAATCAAAAATGTGGGGGAGATTCACAAAGACTAGACTGCAGCTGTAGTCAGTGCTTCTAGAACCACCATGCAGACGTATGCAAGACCTGGTTTCAGTTGTCGCAGTCCTTACGTCAAGCCACTCTCGAACAAAAGGTGGCGTCAGAAGCGTCTCACCTGCCAAAGACAAAAGGACTGGACTGCTGCTGGGTGGTCATAAGTTATGTTCTCCGATGAAAGTAAATTTTGCATTTCCTTTGGAAATCAAGGTCCCAGTCTTCAGGACATGAGGAGAGTCTCGGAATCCACTTTGATTGAGGTCAAGTGTAAAGTTTCCAGTCAAGAGATGGTTTAGGGTGCCAACCCAACTTCATGGAGATGCAGATTTCTTTTGCCAACAGGAACTAGCACTTACACAGTGCCAAAGCTACCAGTACCTGGTTTAAGGGCCGTAGTAACCCTGTTCTTGATTGGTCAGCAAACTCACCGGACCTTAACCCTATAGGAAAATCTATGGGGTATTGTGAAGAGGAAGATGCAATACGCCAGACGACCCAACAATTCAGAAGCGTTGAAGGCCACTATCAGAGCAACACGGGCTCTCATTAGCAGCGCCGCAGACTCCATGCCACGCCGCATTGCTGTGGTAAACTAAATACTGAGTGCTTACATGTTCATACTTTTCAGTTGGCCAGCATTTCTAAAATTCATTTTTTTTTGCATTGGTTTTGATTAATTTTATAATATTCTGATACTGAATTTAGGATCTTCATAAGTTTTCTGTTAGTCACAATAAATAAAAAAAAACATTTGAAATGTATCAGTTTGTGTGTAATGAATTAATCTAATAAACAAGTTTTACTTTTTGAATGGAGTGAAATAAACGCCATTCTAATTTTATGGCCAGCACTTGTGTGTTTCAACATCCCAACAGTCCCCAGCAGAAACCCTAACCCACAAACAAATCAGAGCTTTCTCCCGGTTTTGTCAACGACACACGGTGTTGGTTTTAAATCTACATCTGGGGAACACAGAAAAAACATTCTCTGAAAAGGAGAAATAAATTACTAAATGAACAATGCCACATTTTAATAATTTTTATTCTTTTTGCAGAAATAAAAGAAAGCATCACAACTGAACTATGTGAAGTTAATGACGAACCAACTGTTTACAGAGCATGCCGTCTCTTTTGTTCACCGAATGGACAAGGCAAAATAAACGCTGGAACAGAAACTCAATGAAAGGCAGAAGGGCTGATGCCATGTTGTCCTTTGGTTTAACCAGAAACAGGTTTCTGACTTTAAAACATCACAACTTCGATGACAAGTCACATAATTACGCTAAAATAGAGCTGATCTGTTTTTATTAAACTAAAATGAGATTTCATAGTGTTTGAATTTAAAATTCAAGGTTTGTCTTTTATTAGTTTGACATTGTTTTGATTTTGTATTAAACAATTACCCTCTGCTGCAACAACATCATCCTAGAGAAAGCAGAACAGGTCTCACCAGTGTACCTCGGTGATGAGCATTTCCATAGACTAAATCTGCTGCTGCGTTAACACTGAATGCGATACTGGTGGTTTGATCGAAAGAGGTGTTGAGACAAATTCTATTAAATCAGAAGAGAAAATTAAAATTAAACACAAAAAAACTAATGTAATGTCATTTGCGGTTGTGCTTTAGCTCGTTTATTTTCTTTTCAAACACCAATTCCATTGCAAGCATATTTTTCTAACGGGAGCGAGAGCAGAACAACATCTAGTAAATGATTGACAAAAAAAAAACAAAAAAAAACTAACATCTTTTAGTAATGCTAAACAAAAAGCATCACAATCAATGAATGAGCCGAAAGAGAAAAACTAATTTTCAAGAAAAGCAAATGCTTTCTCCTTTTGTGCGCCTGTCCAGGGCGAAGTAGTCCGGCGTCACTCGACCCTTTATCACGACGGAGCGGAAACACTCACCCAGTCACGCCAGGCGTACACCTTTAACCCACCATACATGAAATCAGCTCCCTCCATGGGATTAGGATGAGTGTTGTTCTCCGAGTGGAGGAAATAAACTGGTAACTGAGGGAAGCCCTCATTTTATCTTTAGTTAATGGGGCCGGAGGGTCGTGCGGCTCAGTAACACACCCAGAACCACCGGTACAAAGGTGGATGCTTTAGACAAGCCAAAAAGGGGAAAGCAAAGGAAAAAACAAACAAAAAAAAGTGTACAAAGTAAACATGGGCAGGTTTAGCGTGTGGAATCTTTCTTGATCGATTGCTGCTTCTGTAAAGCAAAAACTGAGTTTGAAATGGACACGTTCCTTCCACATCCGCAATTTCGATCAGCGAGAAACTTTTTTCCTTTTAAACATTTGGATCTAAATATTTGTAAAATATGCATTTGCCTGTCATATTGTAATCATCATTTTATTCTTTGTGCACAGAAGCATATTTGTAATTAAACTCTAAAGCGCATTAATATTTTTTTTTTATTAACAGTCTAAATCTAAACCCAAATACCATAAGAAGGATCTTTCCAACACAAGGAAGCAGTTAAATTCACATCTGATGCACCACATCTTTTTCTTTTTGCTTTTGATGGCTCAAGTTGTACCCTTAAAAGCATCATAAAAGTGAGGAGATGGAGGAGGACGACGACTTGGTGGGTGAAGAACACAATCTGGTTTTGGGGGAACAGACTTGTGATATACTGCTGGTGCTGGGCCTTTTCAATGCACATGGGCAAACAATAGGCTTTTAAACTGCTGCAAACTCATTAGGCCGACGTTCTCCTTTGCTAAAAGGCAAACACTGACATTTCTAAGTAATTTCCTTAAAAAAAAAAAAAAAAATAACAACAAAGGACTTTGAACAAGAACATCCCCTCTGTAGTCCACTTGTAGCCCATTATAGGTAGTTCCTCCTGTGCGAGTACGCTGTAAAATCAGAACTAAGCAGTAGGCTCAGTCTGAGGTGACCCCAACCCCACCTCAGTCTTTACAACAGTCCTCCCTCGCTGCATTAAAAGGAAAACAAAAAATAAAAGGAAAATCACAACAGCAGTGGCGCACAGAGGAAAGAGAGCAGTCACAGGGAAAACTTGGTGAATGCAGCTTGCTTCTCTTCCAAAAAAAAAAGAAAAGGTGACAAGGAAAAAGGCGCTGGAAACGCTGGTTTTCATGAAAGCAGAGACAGGAGGGAAGAATAGGAAAATCTTGCAAAAGAACAAGTTGGGCAGTGTTCCTGTTCATTAGTTTGGTGCGTGGTGTTAGATGTAGATGCACTTCATTGTCAGCAAGTGCACTTTGACATGTCTGTTGTATGTTTGCGTGTGTGTGTGTGTGTGTGTGTGTGTAGGGATGCGTGTGTATGTGTCTACAGCAGGTCGACGCGGCGGTAGTACAGCAGGTAGGCGGTTCGCTCTGCGGTCTGCTTCACCACCTGGTACTGGTTGATGACCTTCACTGTTTGGTCGTCAATACGCAACCAGCCATTGAGACCGATGTGGAAGACGTCAGTGGTGTAGTGACCGCCTGTTGCGCTGTTTCCATGGTGATACACAACTAGAGGAAATAAGCGGGAAATTTTTCATTTAAAACAGTGTAGTTTTGGCTTGCTTTCAGCACCCCCTAGTGTCCGTAATTAATTCTCTGTGGTTAAACCGAAAGTGAAATCTATCTCCTCCTGTGCGTTCGACTTTTTAACACCTTGATCTAACAGCTGAAATGTCTCTTCAGCCTTCATTAGTGTCTACAGATGCGGTTCAACACCAAATCAAACACATCAGCTGTGTTCCAATCTAAAACATGCAGGAACTGGTGCTGGAGGCAGACTGCAGCTGGGTCTGGAGGGCCGGAATCCAGCACACCTGATTTCACTCAGCAGGTCATTGACAGGCTCCTGCAGAGCTTAACGAGCTGCTGCACAGGTGATTCAACCACTGATTTAAGTGTGTTAGAGCAGAGAAACAACTAAAACGTGCTGGATACCGGCCCTCCAGCCCCTGCTGTAAAGGGTCATTTTAGAACTTACTGGCTCAAGAGAATAGTTGAAATATGAAAAAGTTGCACAGTATGCCTTAACGTAAAAGAAACAGCATCTCAGTTGATGTAACACACACACACCTGCGAAGAGCCTGTAAATTCTTTGGCCTTTCAAAACCTTGCTCCGCACTCCAGAGGATAAGAGGTCTGAAAAAGATTTTAAAAGGTGTTTAAAAACCGCAGCATGAACTATAAACACTCAGAGCGTAGATCCTTCTATACCTTTGCTGACTTCCAGATCAACAGGATAATCAATGTTCTTCGTCAGTTTCTGGCAACCTCCAGTCTTTTCAAAGACAAATCTCTTGAGATGGAGCACCAGGACAGGTGGCAGCTCCTCCAGAGTTACCCTCCGACTTATCTCAATCTGGAACAAATGCATAAAGAGGAGTCAGATGTCGTACAGTGGCAGGACTAAAGTGCTTCAGATGAGATAAAAGCCGGTAAAGTAGTTTGAATGGTAATGAACCGATGTACAGGACGAGAAAGCTTGTAAAGCTCTTCAAAGGCCTCGAGTAACTAAACATTGTGTTTATGGGTCTCAGGGCTGTGGGCCGGTTATTTATCTCCACAATGACAAAACTTTTCTTTTGCAACTACCACAAACAGAAAAAAACCATCTATAAATGTCCGTAATACAGCTGTGATGCAGATGTTCTTCTCTGCACCAGTTGTTTCAGCTTTATGTTAAAAGACTGCCGTGTTTTCACACGGAGGACCATTTTTAAAATGTGTTGAAGCAATCAGAACATTTAAAGGTGCTGGAAATAAATGATTCACGTCCAAATAGTGATTCTTATTCATAAAGACTCTGAATCGATCCTGACTGAAAGCCTCATTCTCACCCAGAGAATCGGAATCGAATCGCGGGTTGTTTTAAGATTCTCACCCCCAATACCAATGGCTGTGGAGGAATTAGCCCTTCGTAGAAGACACACCGTGCCGGCAAATCAGCGTAATACTGCTGCCACAGTGTCTTATGCATGAGCCATGGCAGCATGGTGCTGCGGGGATTTTGCCACATTCGTGATGCCACGCTTGGCTGTCTTTGGCTGTAATGCCAGACTTATGAATGCATATTATGCCTTGGCGCAACAGAGGAAGGTGTCATGATCCCATGGGGAGGTAAGTTTCCCTTCTGTAAACAGAATCAGCTGAGATGATAAACTGGAGTGATGCAGGGTTCCAGGAGCTTCTCTCCATTAGAGCTGGAGCTCAGATCACCAGAGGCTGCACAGGCAATGTGGAGGACAGACACCTTTAGGAGGGCCCTTTCATACCTCCTGCTTGGTTTTTGACGTGTAGCCCTGGACCGACTCCCGGGCAACCAGGGCTTCCAGAGCCTCCTGAACCGTGCGGATCTTCTCAGACTGGATGTCGAGCTGCAGGGTAAAGAAAGGCTGCAGAGTGGCCGACTCCTTGGAGTTTTGTTGATACACCACCGATCTAAGGTAGGGAAAAATAACCCCCAGTTAAACTGTCTGAAAACAGACCTTTGACAAGTTATTAAGGGCAGGAGATTCTGGAAATTCTTTACGTTTTAAATTTCAATGCCACGCCATTGCTTTTGCTACAATAGAATTACCAACTAAAGCATGACTCTACAATTCTAAACGTCTTCCTGACGCTGCTTTTAAAATCAGATCATATTAAAACTAATTCTACTGGCTCAAAATGGACAGACCAGCTTTATTATTTTTAAAGCTTTTCTATAAAATAAAGGAAAACACTATTGTCTTAACTGATGGGTAAGACAACTAAAACCATTCAAAAATAGTAGATGCAGGAAGATCTTATGGTGCAGTATGAAATGTTTTTCTGGAGCTTTTTTTCCTCCAATATTACTTCAAATAACGATGCCAACCAAGAAGTTTAATGCTTTTTAAGTAGAGGAATAATAACCGTCTCGTTCTAAAGGAATGGATCCTGATCCGATGCATGTCCTCGATTGCGCATCAATGGCACATTCTTGGCTTAGAGCAGCTGAACAGGAAGCCAAGCCAGAGCTGGGCTAGCTATATTAGCTATACGGTTACGTAGGTACATTACATTAGGGATTTTGGCAGGCAAGTCGATTTAATCCATGCTCAGCTGTCATTTATTCTTCCTTGAAAAAAATAACAACCTTGTATTTCTTTACTTTATGGGACAGAACCATTTCTTAGAAAACAGTGTTTTCCAGGACCGTACTTGACCAGAACCTCAGAGAACATATCATTTGGTCAGAGAAAATCAAGAGATCCTTAACTTTAGAAGTTATTTGACTATTTTGCCCTTTGTTAAATGGATCCCCATAGACGCCCTGAAAGGGCTGAATTTGTATGGAGACAACAGCTGAGAGGCCCGGGCCATCACATCTCCTGGAAAAATGTCTCCCTCTCAGATTACCCAGAAGTTCCAACAACACAAACACGCCTCATGAGTTACTGCCAGGACTTTCAAACACTAATGATCAAAAAAGAGCAAAAATACATTGTCTACAAAATAAAAACTAAGATCTGATCCATATAACCACTTATGGAGGGACAGGATGACAATTTGATTACAATTACTTTAAATTTCCCAGTTTACCTGATGTGTCCACCAAAAATATCAGTGATGGGTGTGCGGACAAAGTCGGCTTGGCGAGTGACAGAAGTCTTATTCCTGGGACCCACTTGTTCCCACTCATCTTCACTCCCTTCTTCCTCCTTATCAACAACATCCTCCTCTGTACCTGGCTGGGACTCTGGTCCATTGGGCGTAGGAGCCTCTGTGAGAAAACAACACGAGAACCAATGAGTTTGAATAAATGGATCAAGTCCATGTCCAGCACAAATAAATGTGGAACAAAAAACAGGAAATGTTAGAACTGGTTTTAACTAACTTAAGTAGATCTGAAACATTTAGGCAATTTTTCTATTTGTTTACGTAGATGAGTTTTCATTTCTTCAACTAGTGAATCAAAAAATCTTCAATATTTGTGTTTATTTAGGCCAAAACATAATTAAAACCCCTAGATCAGATATTCATAAGCTCTAACGTCGCTCACTCTCTTCCTGCGGTGAGATTAGCTTTTTCAACGCCAGCATCTCCTCGTGCAGACCATTGAGAGTAAACCCAAGATACTCCTCCGCATCCTCTTGTCGACCCTAAAAGACAAGACCATAAAGTACATCAGCGGGGGTTCAACCATTAAATAAAAGCACCAATTTGTGCGCGTCATTCACAGAGATAAACCAACGGGAAGTGTGTGCTTAGGCAGGATGACTCCTATTAAGAATCAAAAGACGTCTCTCCTTCAGAGCACTTCAGCTGAGCCAGCATGTACTGCTTAAATTCTTTTCTTCAGAAATTTACTCAGTTCCAAAAACCGTTGCAAAGAAAAACAACTCCTCAGTACTTTGTGTTCCTGGGGAAATGACTTCAAAGCGCAATCATTAAAAAAAGTCAAACCTTGACATATTTCTTTGCGGTGCATCTAACGCACCCAAAAAGCTATTTGTCTCACCTTCTCAGACAGACTGGACTTGGTGAGGGTGAGGAGTTTGTAAATGTAGGTTGGCTCAAAGGGTACACCAGGCCGAATGTCTTTCACGACCTTATCGCCAACGTCTGTGGGCGACCCAAGGAAAACACACATGAGCAACAGAGAAATGGTCCAAAGCGTGTTGCACGGATTCACATCTTACTTTGCTGTTTTGGTTTTGATGGCACAGGCATGTTGCTGAACTCATTCACCAGCCTCACGCTGTCGGAGACAAACAAACAACCTGAGCAGAAGGCATTTGCTGAAATCAGACAACAATTACAAAAGCAAAAGCAATTCTTACAAGTTGTCCATCATGGGAGTGGAGGAGCACGGTCTCTGCGTCTCACTGTGCAGAGGGATGGACTTCATTAGATGGTACATGGGAGGGCACGCGATCAGGGCCTGGAGGGTCTGAGCGCTCAGCGTTAAGGAGGGAAACAGGCCAGAGGACAGGCAAATTAACAGAAACAACACTGTCGCTATTGCATCTAAGAGATAGCCTCCAAATAACTCAACCTCCGACCATTTTTAGCATAGAAAATATATGTTAACCACAACTATCCACGTTCAAGTGAAGGGTTAGAGGCAATGAAAGGATACAGCGTTGATATAGCACCAGTTTCCTTTGTTGATCAGCCCTCTGGGCTGCAAAGACACTGGTTTATGTATCAACTTCACATTCTCAATAAGTTCTGAGGGTTTAAACAAAGAAGGGTTTTAACAGGTAGCTTTTCATCCCACAGAAAAGCATCATTTAAATACAAACACCAGACTGTACGAGCAGAACATTTCTAATACATTTCACATCAAAACAAATGTTTCTTTCTCCATTCACGTCTCAGGTGAAAGCAGCACTAGAGACCACTTGAATAAGAGTGAGAGGTTGCTGTACCACGCCTAGGAAGAGAGGCTGCCATAGAATACACAGCTCTCATGGTAACGTGGATCCATTTAACAGATGATTTATGGCAACGTTAAGTCTAGTTACTAATAACACGTTACAGCAAAAATAATCAAGAGTGTGTGCATAACATGGCTTCACAAAATGGCATTTTCAGAATAAAAAAGAAACACAAATCACAGCATTTAACTCATCTTTGTTAATCATGTTCTTTCATTATCATCGCTTTTTGATCCTATATCATGCATTTCTTTTCCAATAATCAGCAGATCATGTTTACTCCAGCAGAACTAGAACGTCTGATTGGAAACTAAAGAAATCCTTAATGCAGTTTTTATTGCAGTTTTAAAACCCAGACGACCCAAACAGCTGGTCTGAGGCTCCAACGCTGCTGTCTCCAGTAGGTTGGTCTTTTACAGTTAAAATGGTACCAGTGCAGACTAAACACAGTAAAATAAACACCATCCCATAAAACTACCCAACATTATGGAAACATGTCCATCTGCCGGTAATCACACTTGCTGTAACGGTTCACAGTCGTACAATGTTTCACAAGTTTTCCAGAGAATAAATAAAAGTGCCAAAAGATCAGCAAAGCTAACTTATGCTTTGCACTGCATGTCGTTTTAGTGGTTTGGGGATTTTAAAACACTTGATGTAAGAGGCACACTAATAAATACACTAAATCTGCAGGATTAGGATAAAATCACTACATTTCTTTCAGTTAAATACTTGACTAAACACATTTTTATGTACTTCACAGGAAAATGACTTTTGACAAATAAATGAGGTCCTGGAAAGTGTAAATGTGTGGAACACCAAAAACCCATTTGTACAAATCTTACTTCTGATTATAATCTGTCACAAGAGTTATTCGTGCAGTTTAAACATTAAAATAGTCTCCTACACCTAACTCCTCCATTAGCTTCTGATAGAAAATAGATGGTGAAATTCTAGGATTAGAAAAACCTGGCAGATCTACGTCCCACTGACACCGTTCATGGACTCACCCATCTTGACTCACGAGGAAGGCTGTTGTTGGTTGTCACACAGCAGAACTCCTTTAAACTGGTGTTATTTGTGGCGATAAAACACCAACATTGCAGAACAAACAGTGGTAGAGTTGCACTGATGTTAGCCAATCAGAGGCTAATGTTTACTATGTGAAGTACCTTGAGACGACTCTTGTCGTGATTTGGCAATGCTATATAAATAAACTTGAACTAAATTGAATTGAGATGTCCAAATGCAAGACTCCAAAGCCATCATCTGAAGCTCAGCTGTGGTGTGGCTCACTTCTACTTCCTGGAAATGCTGCCCCAGTGCCCACCGGTGTAAAAGCATTCATTCCTACTAGAGATCACTGCAAATGTGCTTATTAAACAAGTGATCCACACCTTTAAATGTTGTTCTATATCCAAAAATACCTATTTAAAGTTACCTGAACCATACTACGCTAAAGAAAAACCTGGAGAAGAAAATCTTCAGATTGAGCACATCTAAAATACGCATTAAATTCTTATTGAGTATTTATCTTTTCCACACACAACAAGTTAACCATTTCTCAGATAGAATTAGCTGATTTTGTAATTTAAATCTCATTTTATAAACTAAAAGGCTTTGTCAGAGATTAGAGGATTTTGTCATGAGGATTTTGGTGCAAACCATAAAGATCTAATGTCCAAATGGAGGAAATGTGTACAGAACAACAAAGAAGCCACCGAGAGAGAAAGAAAACATCCACCTGAGCTAAAGCTGGGTATAAACATCCCTTTGCTCACAGCTCACGAGGCATCCCTGACCTACTTACTGTAGAGGAAATAAAGTAGGTTACACTAATGTGTAATGTCTAATGACTTACTATCTAACAACTATGCAGTACTGCCATCTAGAGGTGGCTGAATCAGGATTAAAACAACATTTAAGGAGTAAGACGGGACCGTTATACTCTTCATATAATACCTGCAAGTTTAGGGGCCATTGGATCCTCTGATACGTGGACAGGGCCTTCTTTCAGCTCCTCAAGTTTTTCAGGTTGCTCTGGTGTTGCAGGTGTGGGAGACACCGCTTCCACAATATTCTTTACCTCTACGGAGGCCTGAGGGCCCCCAGACAGAGGCTTGGAGGTGTGAAAGAGGCTAGCCCAGGATTTGGGAAGATTGGCAGTGGGTGCAGCAGGAACAGCAGGTGAATGTGTCTGCTCCGTCACTAACGACTGGGCAGCAGAGTCTGGGGTGAGCTGCTGATTCTGCTCCCCACTGTCACAGTCTTCTTTGTGTCCATCTGCACTGACGGGAGTATCGGGTTCTTCTAGCCCGTTGGCCACTCCACTTTCTGCTACTTCGTTTCCTTCTATTTCAGTAGTAGTAGTAGAAGTGATAAGAGTGGGTGTGGCTTCAGCAGCAGGAGGAAGAGGAAGCGGTGATTTGGAGCAAAGGCTGTGTGGGGGATCTGAAAGTTCTGGGCTCTGTGGAGCCAAATGAACTGGCTGCTGGTCTGCAGTCCTTGGTCCCTCTGTCATCTCTCTGCTGTGAGAGGAGGAACAAGAGGAGGAAATTGCATTGTTGCTGTCTGAGAAAGAGGCAGCTCCACTCGTTAGGTCAAAAGAAGAGTCATCAGGGCTATCACAAGTCCTCTGATCGGCAGTGGTTGTGGGGCCAAACATAGCAGCTGTTGCCGTGGAGACAGGTGCAGGAGTGGAAAGTTGAGCTGCTGACAATGCCTTACTGTCCACATCTTCAGGACTATGGTGTGAGCCTCCAAGTGCGTGTCCATTCACTAGTGCTGTCACGGGCGTGCCGTCTGCCCCACCGGTGCCGCTGTTGCTCCCAGCGCTGGATGGGTCTAGGTAGTTGTAGTACCCCGGCGGTCGCTTTTTCTTTTTCTTTCTCTCTCGCTGTCCCAAGCTACCAGGGAGTCCATCCATGTCCTGGCACGCCTGGTGATTGTCCAGGGCTGAGACCTCAGCGTCAGGTCCATCCAGCGAATTGAAGTGGCTTCCATCAGGAACATCAGCTGCTGGAGGAGTCGTCTGTTGAGCCTTCGGAGCCGACTGGCAGCCCAGGATGAACTCCGGGGCCTGGGGGTTGAGCGTGCTCGGTACCTTATACAAAGGATCGTTCATCCCAACAGGATTGGAGTCCATCACCTCGTCAACCCCAAACTCGATGCGCTGATAGTCTTCTCCTGCAGAAAACAATTCGGTCAATTTTCCTTACAAAACAGCCGGAAACGTCTAGATTCAGATTTGACCTCAGCATCAGTTTTAATCATTTAACTCTGTGGTGAGGCCCTTCCAGACTAGACAAATTAAAAAATTACACTAATCATTGCCATAAATGTCCACTTTCTTATGCGTGTGACAATAAATTTGTGACTCAGAAAGAAAACGACAAGTTAAGATTTTATGATATTAAATCAAATTCCACAACTTTTGAGACAATCTTTAACACGGCTAATAATTAATGATCTAAAACATGTAAAGATCCCAGGAATGTAGTAATGCAATGAAACAGAATAAGAAAATAAAAAACAGCAAAAATACATGAAGTATTAAAACCAAACACTGAAATATTGCTTTAAAGGCACGTTGTTAATCCACATTTCTTTGCAAGGCTCCTTAGTTTATGAATTATGCAGTGAGAAATGAAAGGTGCAAGGGTGAACATAAACAGGAAGAATTAGTAAGTGCGAATAAGACGAATCATCCATGTGGTTTTCATCGGTCACAAAAGTTAAACCTGAAGTTCTGCTAAATTAAGAGTGAAAAATCAGATACTTTCTAAATTTTTAAGATATAAAAGGATTTTCTGTTAGTGTCACTAAAATTACACTATGACTGTAAATTGAATTTAAATTAAAACCATAACAACCCAGAAATAATTCTACATACAGACGTTCACAGCCACAGAAACCCTTAGTTAAAAAAAAAGGTTCAGCTGTTAAAATACATGAAGTTTCTATCAGATTTCGGTTGGACTTGGAGCCCTGCAGCAGCGCAGACACATTAAATGCTAAAGAAGATACTTCCAAGTATCTTGAGCATGCAAAGCTCTAGAGAATTAACCAACAGGCAAGGGAAAGAACACAGATGCAAAGTTTAGAAAGCCACCGGTTTTTGAAACTTGAAGTTTTAGTTTTACAGATATCATAACTTGTCAAGCCACAGGGTGTCGAACCTTTCAACTCACCGCAAACCTGCAGTCCCATTGACTCCATAATATAAGGCACAGCAGGAGTGCTGTAACTTCCTGAGTGATCAATACAAATCAAGGTAAGGCAAATGTTATGTGCAAAAAGACTCCACTTAAAGGGAGGTGGCTGCAAAAATCACAGATTGTATCTGGTGGCCCGAGCTGAGCCTGGATTCAAAAGTTCTGCTTTAAAGCGGACAGAAAAAAAAACGAGTTGTTCTGATGGAATAGAATCATTTCATACTGGAAGTCTTTAAAAAAAAAAACTGCATACCTGAAGACTGACTGACGCATGGAACCTTGTCGTTGAACGGAGGAAGCTGGAAAGAGAAACTTCAGTTAACCTTTTAAACATGTGAATAAGCTAATTATTTGATCAGTAACAACGTTTTTGAACAACATAAAGCTCCTCATCACATCAAGAGTTTAACTACATCACCTGTTATCCTTTAGCCTGGCCAGTCATCCTAGATCTGTAAATATAAATTCGGGCCACCACCCTTAACCACAGCTCAGTTGTAGGGCAGAAGCTACGGTTGTCTTTCAAACTATCTCTGCACTCAATTGAACAGCACTAGGACCAATGAGAGCAACAAACAACGTGATGCATTAATCGTAACAGAAATGAGTCAATGCAGTCCGCCATTAAAAACCAATAAAAAATAAGCAAATACACACCTCTTTTGATTTAGGTACCGCTTTCTGCTCGTCTTAACCCTTACAGGTCCCTTGTGCAGTTTCTTGTGCAGGCGGTCATTTTTTTTTTAAAGTTATAGCAATCAATGTTTCTGAATTTCAGGAAAGAACCGCCCTCTCCATGTTGCGCAACACTCTCCCAGCGCCTGTTTACAAGTAGCTGCCAACTGTAATGTTTAATAAGAGGCTCTAAAAATAGCATGCAGAACGTTAGCTTACTTCTCGAGCAGAAAACCGGCAACAGCGGCGTCTGTGGGGAGCGGACTGGACCGCATTAGCCTCTTCCTGATTTCCATGTGAGTGCAGGGGTGCACAGAGTACGCATGCGCAGGAAGTGAAAACTAACCCAGGATTGGCTTCACCAGAAATTGACATTTTTGCGGACCAATGGTTGACGTGATCCACCCGGAAGAAAAACATCGACTGCTATACCTTTAATAACTTTGGCTGTGTTGACGCAATTCTTTTTATTTTTTGCTCCGGTGTGTGTTTTTGGGTAAGTTTACTAAAAATAAAATGCCCCCCATTACTCCATTTAAAACATTGTGTTGACAAAAAAGGAACATTGAAGTCCCTGGACATTATTTCAGTGCCACAGACTCTCATTCAAACATTTTTCTAACAAGCTAAATATCACTATAAATATATTTTTTTATTTCACTCCACCCGTGTGTTCCTGCAGCCACTGGGGACAGAAATTGTTGTTTTTACTTTTTTCCACCAAATGGCATGGCATCTCTATAAATGGCAGGGCATTGATTTATAATGCATTTTAGTAATAATAGTTTAAGATTTTGTGGCCCCTGGATTCACAATGCAATAATTTTTGAACAATTTTTGTCTGAGTGTTTTTGTACAGATGTCATAGACTAGTGTGCATGTGTGTTTTCATAATTTATGTGACAGTTTTTTTTTTTCAGTTTTCATTAGAAAAATCAGTTCCCTCCTATGTCTAATATCTGTGCAAAATCTTAAACAACAGATTTATATGTGTTTTTTGTGTGTGTGTTTCTGCACACACATATATGCACTTATGACTCAATGGCTCTTTGATCTACACCAAAACTTTGTGGTAGCTGGATATAAACTGAATGTGCTGCAAAATTTCAAAAGCAACTTATTTACTGTTGCAAGTTGTAATGCCAACATGAATACAACTTTTTGAACAGATCAGTCATGAACACACAAGTATCAACAGCTATAACTTCAAAGATGCAGCCTGTAAAAACAAATGCCTGCATCAATCAATGTTTACACGTGTCCTTGCTGAAAATGCTTATATAGACGACTCAGATTGGGATTAGCTTTTTTCCACTAGAAAAATGGCACAACGTCTCAATGTATCACAAGCCTGTGAACTTTTTTATGAGCTAGAAGTCCAGCAGGAACCAACAGACTCCAGCGGGGAAAGCTCGTCTTCTAACAATGACTCTGTGGACTTGGAAGATGAAAATTTTGTCCCAACAGGCCCAGAGTCTGACTCTGATGAAGAGATGGAGGAAGGAGGGGCAGATAATTCTCCGTGGAGTTTAAAGAACGGCATGCCGCAGGAGAGCCATCATTTTCGAAGGAAAAAAAAATCCCGCGTCCCAGTATCACTCGGTACACCGTGAGCCGGACAGAAAGCATTGCGCATTGTTTTAAATTTTTTTTTTTTCACGGATGAGATCCTTAACCTGATCATTCGCCACACGAACACGGAGGGGATCCGGGAGTGTACCGGTCGATCAGCAGTAGAGCAGCCCTCCAGAGGAAGAGAGGAGGATGAAGGAAAGCTGCCATCTCTGCCGAGGCAAGCAAAGCATGTTTGCCTGCTTCTGCTCCAAATGTGACCTGGCTGTCTGCAAGGAGCACTCCACAGTTGTGTGCACTGTTTGCAGCGTGCGCGCGCGCACGCACACACACACACACACACACACACACACACTTTGTTCTTCCAATAATCTTTCGAATGACTCATTGTTTGAGCATTTTTCTGTTCGAGGGGATATCTGACACTACACAAAAAAGAGAGAAAACAAAAAAATTGTTTTTGTTAATTTGTGACTCTCTTAGAGCCCTCACAATTCACGCCCAAAAGAAGTCCTCTGGACATAACACACGAAAAATGATTTGGTAAAAAATTTTTTATAAAGTTGATTTTTTGGACCAAACTTAGCACTAAAGGGGTTAAGTCTCAAAAACACTCAAATATTTTATTCTCTTTGGTGAGGACTGAAGCTTAAGAAAGAATCTGTGTAAAAAAAATTTGACCTTTGAAGTAGTATATATATATTATTATACATTTTGGTAAAATGCATTTTTCTGTGCGAGGGTCCTGATTGTGAGTTTTTCTGAATATCTGACACTCCACATAAAATAGAGAAAAAACAAACAAAAAAAATTTTTTTTTGCTTATTTGTGACTCCAGAGCCCTCACAACTCACCCCCAATAGAAGTCCTCTGGCCATAACACAAACAAAAAATAATTTAGGTTTTAATTTTTTATGGATTTTTTTTTTTACAAAACATGGCACTAAAGGAGTTAAATCTCAAAAACACTCAAATATATTATGTTTTGTAAAGACTGAAGCTAAAGAAAGAATCTGTAAAAAAATTAGACTTTTGAAATATTATATAATTTTTATTATACATTTTGCTAAAATGCATTTTTCTGTGTGAGGGACTTGAATGTGAGTTTTTCTGAATATCTGACACTACACAAAAAAATACAGAAAAAACAAAAAAAATTTTTTGCTCATTTGTGACTCTTCAAAGCCCTCACAATTCAGCCCAAAAAGAAGTGGTGTGGACATAACACACCAAAAATTATTTAGTCATTTATTTTTTATACTGTTGATATTTTTGACAAAACATGGCATTAAAGGGGTTAAATCTCAAAAATACTCAATTATTTTACTATGCTTGGTGAGGACTGAAGCTAAGGACAGAATGTGTGAAAAAAAATTGACTTTTGAAATATTTTTCAATTTTTATTAAACATTTTGCTAAAATGCTTCTTTTTTTTTGTGCGACGGTCCCCAGTGTAGCTTTTTATAAAGGAACCACCAAGGGTTAAAAGGATATTGCACCCAAAATTGAAATTCTGTCTGTTGGCATATTTTCCAGAATAAGATAAGTGGGAAAAACAAATTAGCAGCACATCTCCCAAATTTTTTTTTTTGGAGGATTTCTGAGGCTTACTATGTATGTGTATATGCATGTACCTACCTATTTTTCTTAAACTTATTCTTTCAAGTGTTTGTGCTGCTGTAACAAGTGAACTCATCCACTGTGGGATCAAGACTATTCTATTTTATAAATGTGTTCAACAGCAAGACCTCACTGCATTTTATGTTAAGCTTAAGGACTACAGCCAGGCCAGAAGAATGACTGGGCTGAGAAAAAATTCTTTTTTCCCACTTATCCAACGCTGGGAAAATTGTCAACAGACATAATAACCATATTATGTGGAATATCGCATTAACTCATTCACTGCCAATGACCACAAAAGTCGTCATTAGCATTTTTTTTTACTGTGTAGGCATCGGAACAAACTTGAGAACAAACATCCCAGCTCTAAAGCCGATCTTCATCCACGTACATCACACGTGATCAGGATGCAGAAAATCCATGTGTTAGGAGATCGTTTTGGGCCGCTGCTGTAAAAAAAAGTGAGGCGCAAACCGGAAAAGCTTCTGTCGATCACAATTCGACAACGGATTAGAAAACGGGTAACACTCTAAATCAGATTCTTCCTAATGTAAAGTGAGTCTACTCTTTGTTTTGTTAGTTTTTGAGTAGACATCATAGCATGCAACGTTCTGTGACTCTTAAAAAACTGTAAAAATGCTGAAAAACCCTGGCAGCAAAGTAAAGCCCACATCTAAATCATCCAAAGTTGATCTCACAGCCGTTTCAAACGAGCAACGTTCCTGAGACGACACCATCTTTGTAACTTTTCTCCATCCTAGCGCTTGTACTAAGCCCGCCCAACATCTCTAAACAGAGCGCTGTGATTAGCCCAACCTACAATTGCTCAGGTCATTGGTACACCTGAGACTACAATGGAGCATGGCTAGACCAACCTGCAGAGCAAAACAGTTCGTCTAGATTTCTGGGCTAATAATCCTTGATAGTTTCAGTCAAACTAAACTTTCTTAACCCAGAAGAGGCCACTAGAAAAATACTGCAATGGTCACTTTCACATACACACTTGAAAAGATCATTTATCCATGTCCGACACCCAAAACGTCTTTATCTTACCTCAACATAAAAGCGAGGAGTCACAAAAAACTGATTGATCTCATCAGGGCTGAATTCCCCGAAGATATACTGTGAATAGAGATTAAAAAAGGGCTGTTAGTCAAAGGGAAAAAACATTGTAAAATCAACTTTAACATTTTCATTTATATGACTAAAAAGAGAATTTTAACAACTAAAGTGTTTTGAATGACAGTTTTAGTTTCATGACATTGAAAAGAGATAAACACAAAGAGATTAAACACAGTCCAATGTGGTACTATTGTTCTTAAAAATCCATTCTCACTCCACCGCTACCATAGTCCTATCATGTGCGAAGGTACAGCAAGTCATAAAATGATGAGTCATGCAGCATTTTATGTAAATCATGAACAAACTGCACCGATCTGACTCCAGGAATGATTGCCCTTTGACAGGCAAACTCATTTATGGCTGCTCAAACACCACCTCACCCTCGACGGGGTGAAGAGACTAAAACTTTTAGACAAAACTTTATAAACGTGATCAACATTTAAGTTGTGTGCCAATGGATTACATGTCTTAGTTTGTCTGTGCTTAGCAGTTCACCTTAGGTCAGTCAAAATCTGTGTGTAGCCAATTATTACACGATGAATCAATCACATAAGATAACAGCGCGAGTGGCTGACTGCTTGCTTCTATACCACCATTTCTCAGGAAAGTAAAAACAAATGGTTGAATGGGTAACCAGGACTTTTTGTGTGTCATTTACAAAAACATTCCGACTCCCTAAATGTGTAGAAGATCATCCCAAAGAAAATCATTATTTTATGTAAAACTCGATGTATTTGTCTTTTCTTCTTTATTTTCTCAATAAAAGAAAATGTTTTTAAAATGACTCATCAGAAAGGAGCCGCACAGTCGGATATTTATCAGCAGACCCATTGATTTAGTGTTTGATGGGTTTCAGAATGAACGAGAAGAACCGTTTAACATCCTCTCACTGCAGTCAGCTGAATGTTTGACCTGAAGGGAACCTCTGTAACTAATCCTTAATTACTTAAGTATTAGAAAGACTTTGGTTTACTTGAACCAGCTCAAGAGTGAAGCATGTATGTGTAGTACTCTTACTTTCAATGGGCAGCCTGTACTTCACAGATTAGCCAAACTAACAAATATTACCAGAAAAGCCCATTTTTGGTTATTTCGTTCAAGACCTGTACACCTAAAATTTCATTGAGTTTCCCTCGGTCCTTCATAAGCCTGATGGGCTTGGCCACCCGCCAGGCTAAACGTGGTCCAACCCCCCTTACAGGTACTACCTTCTCCGCTGGCACGGACAACACACGCCAGCTAAACCAACCGTAGCCCCCCCACCCCCTCCACTGATGAGGAACGGCAGTGGAACGCCCTGTGACACCCCCCCCCCCCCCCCCAAGGACGAGGAACAGTAGCGTGATTAATGGGCCGATATTTAGCATTTATTTCATCATCGGTATCGGCCATTAAGCCTCTTTAGCGGAGCCTATTTTAAGCACCTCTGCTGCTTGAAACAGGTGAAGGACCCCAATCCAAAACACCGGCAGTATTTTCCTCTGACTAAACGCTAAGGCTACTCTTTGGTGTTTCAAACCCCTACAGCTGTATATTTAGTGTGAATTAAAAGTAAAATATGAAATAATAATTAGCTGAGCAAAAGAAAAAACAGGCTGTGAGAACAGTCTGTATCTGGCAGAATGCTGCTAATGCTAGGTTGGCTTGTTGTCAACTTTAGAGACTATCTTTAACTGTCTTTCGCTTTTTTGCTTAATGCATTAGCTCCAGATTTATAGATTCAAATGTTTTCCTGTATTTGGCGTGGGGCCAAACCAAGGAAAGCAGGGTGTGATATTAGCAGGAGGCTGGTGAGCTGGGAGCTGAAGAAGGTAAAAACAACTAGAGCTGAAACGATTCCTCGAGTACCTCGAATAATTCGAGGTACAAAAAATCCTCGAGTCAAATTCTCTGCCTCGAGGTTTCGTTTAATTCATATTTAATTAATTCATGGCTTTTCAATCGCCCGGGGTCATGTTTCACCCGGACCGAAATAAGTGACGCACATGCCCACTGGACTGAATGCACACGCGAGTAGCGAATATAACTTAACTTTCTCTTAAGCCATGGCGGACAACGTAGACCCCGGTGGAGGGCGAAAAAGACAGAAAATGTCAAAGTTGTGGGGCCATTTTTCACGTCGTAAGGCAGAAAACGTAGTCCAGTTTAAATACTGTAAAATGGATTTAGCCTACCACAACACCACATCCTCCGTGCTGCAGCACCTGTAAATGTCACTTCTGCAAGCGGACTCGGAGCCTCTACAAGATAATGCTTTTTAGCCTGTATTTCTATATATTCTGCGGACTCTGCGACTTTTTCGTTTGTAGCGCTCAGTTTCAGCTCACACTGTACGTCTGGTAGCAACACGTCGGACTTAAAATGTGCTAAAAAATAGCAGTTTTTACACAACACGTCGGATTTTTTATTGTGTTATTGATGTCTGTTGTCACTCGGGGTTTCTGCAGGAGGACACGGGTATTTATGAGTGGCGGAGGAAAACGAAAGAAAGTAAATAAATGTTTTGTGATCAGTATAATTTGACAAAACCACAGCAAACATGCTTTTGGCAATCCTTGTTAGTGTGAGAAAAAAAGTGTGGAAATTAAAACGGACGTGTGTTAATAGGGAAACAGCCGGCGAGCTGTTTGCGCCGTGAGCGGTTCTGGTTCTGTTTGGGCCGCAGCCGCTAGCAGCGTTATTCTCCTAGTTTTTTTCTGGCTTGCAGGCTAGCAGATTCTCGCACGAGGGGAAAATCGGCTCAGGTTGTTTACTTATTTTTTGCACAGGCATTTGTTTACTGTGAAGTAAAGTTGAAGTGCTGAAGTTTTGCAAACTAATTTTGAATAAAACTTGAAGAATAACTGGCAATTGCTTGCTCATTTCAAGAGGTCTTTCATAATTATAACATGCTATTTGATATCAAATCAAATCACTTTTATTGTCACGTCACATGTGCAGGTACACTGGTACAGTACATGCGAGTGAAATTCTTGTGTGTGAGCTTCACAGCAAGAGTTGTGCAAAAATACAGTAATGTAAAAACAAGTAAAATATAAAAATGGCTAATCTAAGTATACAAATGAATAAAGTAAACAATAAGATAAGAGATATAAAATGTACAGAGGTTGGTATGTGCAAAACAGTGGCATTAATGTACAGTATGGAGCGTGTAATGTTGGAACTTGGTGGAGCTCGCGACGAGGCAGCCATACTCGGCGCCATCTTGGCTCATCAATATATGATATAAAGGTTTACAAACACAAAAGGGTAATTTATTAGAGTACTCGATTAATCAAAAAAAAGATTCGATGGAGTACTCGATTACAAAAATATTCGATAGCTGCAGCCCTAATTCAAACGGTAGAGTCAGAATTTGGTGTAAACAGAATGAGAACATGGATCCATCATGCCTTGTTACCACTGTGCAGGCTGGTGGTGGAGGTGTAATGGTGTGGGGCATGTTTTCTTGGCACAGTTTAGGCCCCTTAGTGCCAACTGGGCATGGTTTAAATGCCACGGGCTACCTGAGCATTGTTTCTGACCATATCCATCCCTTCATGTACTACAATTGTGAAAGCTGGGTGTAAAATAATTTGTTGGTTGTTGCCATCATACATTAGACCTTGTGCTGACTTATGGCATAGAGTGTGAGGAAATAACAATATTTCCACATAATCCAGTCCTCTCGGACCACTTTCTGATAACCTTTGAGTTTTTTATAACTGAGTTCTCGAGACATGAAAGTAAACTTCACTATAGTCGGTGTCTACCTGACAACGCTGTTGCATCTTTTAAATCAACTGTTCCATATTTACTGTCCTCAGCATCTCAGAGGAACGTAGCAGAAGGCAATATTTTCATTTCTAGCCCCTCACAAATTGATGCCTTAGTTCATAATGTTACTTCCTCTTTACGTGTGGCATTAGATGATGTTGCCCCTTTAAAAAAAGAAGGTAATTAGGGACAGGAAGTAGGCTCCCTGGTTTAATTCTCATTTACGAGCCTTAAAACAAAACTCTAGAAAATTGGAGAACATGGCGCGGACATTTTGGAGACTTTTTAAAAAAAATTTATTTTTCATTTTTTTACCGTGTCCTGTCTGGCTGTGAAGCAAACAGAATTGTTGTCTGAATGCTGGTAACAAGCCTTACAGATTTACTCTCAGGTGGAGCATCAAAGCGTCTGCTTTTAATGTCATGCCTGATACTTAAAACTTTATTGTTATTGTTTTTGAATGCTTTGTAATTCCTACCAGACACGGAGACAGAGGTGAAAGAGAAAGGTAAAGACAAAAGGTGGGAAGGGGGGGGGTTCCACAAAAATAAACAATAATGAACAAGAGTCTGCTTCTGGACCTGCAGAAAGAGCAGAAAAAAATGGGACACAACAACAATACAACAAGATCAAGCTATCACTGCATCAACTTGATGAAGAAATATAAAATCAACATTGTTTAACTGAACAGTCACACGTTAATAAATCATAGTGCATTTAGTGGCAATGACAGCCTTAAGACATGTGTTGAACGTGCAGTAGTGTCATCAGCTCTTGGGTTTAAATACTGCCACACCACCCTTCTTTAAAACGAGGAACAGTTCTGAGCTGTGTGTGGCTAAAATAACCAGACATTCTGCATTTTTCCAATAGGACTACAAAAACCTTAGCGAGAAGAAAAAATGACGGATTGGCTCTGTGTTTAGCCGGAGGGCCATGACTAGGGCTGCAACAACGAATCGATAAATTCGATGAAAATCGATTACTAAAAAGCGTTGGCAACGAATTGCGTCATCAATTCGTTGTGTCGCACAACTCTTCCAAAAGCCCCCCCCCCTTCCCGCCCGCCGTTGCGCACAGACCATGGCGCAGACCGGAGCAAGTCAGATCAGCGCGAGGGAGAGCCGGCAGGTGTTTGGAAGAGGAACATGGCAGAAGCAGCGATACCCAAAAAAGTAAGAACTTCTAAAGTTTGGGAGCATTTTCAGTTAAATCAGGCGAAGACATTCGTTACCTGCAACATTTGTAGGTCAGACTTAGCATGGCACGGG